CTAAAGTTTATTAATTGGGCTTGAATTAGAATTATTTGAATTTTTAAATAAATGCCTGATGAAAAATTAACGCGCTTGTTCTACACTGTTTATATTTTATTTAATATAATAGCGCGCAATAAATATTTTTTTGTAGAGCTTGAAATTAAAATAAATGTAATTCTCTCTATTTTGTTGCGGCAAATACTTGTGTTTGATTTGGTATAATCACACCCACGGCTCATATTTTCAGGTAGAAAATTCTCAATGATAAAGCTTTTAATTAGCTAGTCTCAATTTCATAATAAGACGCAATCAATCATCATTCATTGGGCGGACTATTATATATATAATAACAACAACAAAATAATAACAGCAACAAAAACTCGCTCATGAGACACAGCTAGGCTGTCATAAATGCTTTAATTTAAACTTTGATTCTCCGATAGATTAACACAAAAAACTGCACGTTGCGTATTTTATATACATAATGTAAACTAATCGCCTTTGATTCTCAGATAGATTAACACATAAGCTGCTCATTACATAGTTTTATAAACATAATCTATAGCCTAACGTACACTTCTTGATCTCTTGTCGTTATTTAGAACTTTTAGAGCTGCCTTTGCGCAAATACTTGATCTCAGTCTTACGTTGTAGCAGTTTCGGTTAACAAGTTCGATAATGAAGGCTTAGTTTGCAATTGGGGCGCTGCGAGGTAAAAACGAGGGCTGCGATGCGGTAAGGTTATGGAGGGAAGGCTGGTTTTGCAGGGCCACACAGCCTGCTAATGTTCCGGAGGCCCAGACGGCCTGATAATGTCCCGAGGGCCACACAGCCTGCTAATGTCCCGAGAGCCACACAGCCTGTTCAGCCTGCTAATGTCCCGAGGGCCACACGGCCTGCTAATGTCCCGAGGGCCACACAGCCTGCTAATGTCCCGCAGGGGCCACACAGCCTGCTAACGCCGCAGGGGCCACACGGCCTGCTAACGCCGCAGGGGCCACACAGCCTGCTTGCTAATGTTCCGGAGGCCAAAAGGCCTGCTAATTACACGGGGCCATACAGCCTGCTAACGCCACTAAGGCACACAGCCTGCTGGTGTAAATGTGCCAAAATTCATGTGATTGTTTTCAAATAATCGCGAGATTGTAAGACCACCTATTACCATAGAAAGCATGAATAGGGATTTAAGTTTTGTACAGAAAGTAAGTCTAGAAAAGAGAACACCTGAATAACGTTCTTTCACAACTTGGCAAATACTCTAGGCTAATTACATTTTTAAATAGACAGATGACCAAAATAAAGATTAAATGTAGGTTTAGTTGAAGACAAGATAATAATGTTTAAATTTGACATTTTTAATCTGTTAACGTTTCGAATGTATCAACGCTCATTATAATTTTATAAGACATAGAATAATGACATTTTGATCAACTTAAATACGTAAAAAGGCAGATTACCTAAAAAAAATTGTAATGCGAAAATCACTTCAAAAATTATTGTGAAAACCAACAATATTATTTACAAAAAGAAACTTTTTGCTAAAAAAATTCTTTGTTCTTCAGTCAAACAAATATAAAACATGAATTTTTGAGCATATTGTTTAAACTTTAAATTATTTCTACTTATCAATAGCTTTAAAATAAAACCTTGACCTCATAACCTAAAAGTGTTTCAGTCCGAGCCTCGCCCAACCCTCGAGCGTCACACTTGGCGCCTGACACTGCACTCTAAGCTCTCCTTGCGCCATGTCTGCTTACAGAAATCGGGGTCAAAATAATACCCTAAATTCACTAAAAATTTAATACCCTGAATGCAATACCCTAAATTCAACACCCTAAATTCAATACCATAAATTCAATACCCTAAATTCAACACCCTAAATTTAATACCCAAATTCAGAGAAATCGGGGTCAAAATAAAATCATAAATTCAATCAAAATTCAATACCCTAAATAATAAGTGCCCTAAATTCAATACCCTAAATTCAGAGAAATCGGGGTCAAAATAATACCCTAAATTCAATATGTTTGGGCTCAAAGATTCCGTGTAGTGGTTTTCGTTGGAACAAATGATTAAAATATAACATTAATTACGTTAGAATTGAGTGGAACATTTGTTTTCTCCTACCAGCTGAATTGGTCTTGCTCTTCTCGTATGTCGAGGTAACATTCAAATTATCGAATGAAAATCTTCGATAAAACTGGTTTCCCTCCTTTTAAATATTGCTTGAATTTCCAATCGGGTAGCATCTCGGAAACTCACTAATTGCTCTTGGATATATACTTAAAATTACGTGACTTAGACTGGTTAATAATTCGAATGGCTCTCCATTCATTTTGCATTTCGCGTTCAAGTTGCAATATTATCTGCGTCCTGAAATTCATTTTTATACGTCAATATAGTTACGCAAATTTGTGTTCAGTGTATTTAACAGTATTCCGTATACAAGAAATGAGATGTGCTCATTTTTTATTGTTCTAAATGTTAATTGTTTTGGGGAAGATTAAACAGAGCGGTAATTTTAAACATTTAAATGAAGTGGATATGCTGAAGTTGATCTTTTGGCTTTTTCTAGGTAACTTAAAACAATTTACAAAAGGAATGAGATTGTGCGTCATCACATTCATTCCTAAGCATTTCAAACACAGGCATTCTTTACTTTGGCACATAATGGAAAAATTCATGGGAATAATTGAATTGATGCAACATTGCATTTACTTATTCACGGAAAGAGACAAATTTTATTTGAATGCCTGCCATTGCTATCCAAGTCTTGTTTACAATAAAGAAGTAACATACACAAATTGGGTGCATATTGATTTTATATATGTACCCTATATAACATTATTATTTATTGGTATATGCAAAGAAATCCTGCTCTAGTATTCGAATACTCGTATTCATATGGATGGTCTTCTGAATATTTTTCGTATTGGAGTGAAGCGTTATAGATAATATCTAAAGATTATTCACAATCTGAGAGATTTTTCCAAAAAACAAAATAAATGAAGATTATTTACGTACTGTAAGATGCTCCCATTCATATAAAAAATGTTCACACTCTCTAGTTATTCCAGAGTGGCTTCAAAAAGAGATAAAAATATAAATGATTCATTTCGAAATAACACTTAAATAAATATGCATTTATTAAATTGGGTTTATCATTGAGAATAACCCTGTACTACTATTTATTTGTATCATGTATTTTGATACATATCAGATTTTAATTTAAAACTGCACGTATTTTTGATCCGCATCGCTGAATTTAGACTATGCGGGGCCCTTCCAACATCATGCGTGCTACAGTATAGACTTACATTTAAAATCAACCTTATTGCAGGTCTGATCTTACCTTCAAGTTCTTTCAGTGGCGTGCCGTATAAGCTAATGTTTGCGTAGCTTCTCCGTCTACGCGATTAAAATCTTAACGTCGTTTTCTTTCGACGTCTTATTGAACATTTTGAAAAATGTCACCCGGCAATTTTAAGGACCTTCACTTTAAAATTATACATGCGTTATGACGCGATCTATTTTATAATAAATCTTCCCTAACGAGGAAAATCCCATGAAAAGATATGCACATGACGAACAAAGGAGGTCTCATAAATTGCCTCGCGGTGCAGTCATCAGAGAGCAGCAGCATAGCAGCATGGCGGCTAAGGCACAAAATTAATAAAATTCTTCATAAAACAGGCGCTCCCGGCGCCGCAAGTAGCGCTTGATTGTATCGCGTGCGTTTCATTAGAGCGACGCCAGCCGCATAATACGTTGAGTCAACAGGGCGGCATAGAAGCCCCCCTTAATTGCTTCATTAACATGGTAGAGCGGGAATTAGCTTGGTAATTGTAAACTGTAGTGTATTGTAAGGTCGAAATAATTTCGTTAATGTTGCTTTGAATGGCGTTATTACATAGAAACGCAGGAAAAAACGTTTTAACTTATTTCCACGCGTTAAGCTGGACCGGCATGATAATGTTAAGAAGATGTTAATGTTAAGTTAATTTGTTAAATGTTAAGTTGATGTTTAGTCACATATGGTGGAGGGAGTGCACGACAGTGATCAGACTTGGCCCAACATAACACTTTGGTTAATTTTCCTATCCAAGGGTGAGCGCGCTAGAGGGCATAACAGTCAAATGTAATGTGGTCAATTGCATAAAGCCATATCCCGGAATGTTCACAGCATGCATCTGGCCAAACCTACTCCGGCCTAACCTACTAACGTTACATTTCTAAACACAAAAACAAACCTTAGCGGACCTATCCTAATCTCATTGGCTGCAGAAAGTTAGAGAGGCGGGGCAAATGAGCGGGTAGGGACAGTCATTGGCTACACAAAAATTGTAAATCAGGGCAGTGTGAATAGGTTAGGCCAGTAAAAGCCAGGCCGGAGTATGTGAGACCGGCTGCAGAACAGCCGTTATAAGCGAGCATGTTTGATAATATATAAGCGAGCATACTTAAGCATTGTCTGAAGATTTACGGCGCTCTCATCATTGAGCAGTAACCCTAACAAAATTTAGAGTCGCCCCAGCTTCTGGTAATCCAAATCAGAAGCTAGCGCGTCTGTAAATTTTCACTGGGAAGTCACTGGTCTGGATTACTGTCTTACAGCGCAGTCTGCAGCTTCTAGCTCTGATTCTGAAAGTAGTTATTGCATGCTACGGCTATACTTTGGTAACAGGGCTTATTTTATACCTAAAAATTTTGACCCATGGTTATATGTATTTATACAGCCCCTCATTGCAGGTATATGAACTAAATAAATAATCGATTGTGGTGTGAATTCGTTTGGAAGTGTCAGTCGTTGCCTCGGAGCCAATGGGCTTGTTAAGGCTCCGGTCTTTCTTCTAATAGGATGTGGTCTGGATATAATTAAATTATTGTCTGGCAAAGTCGTAATTAGAACATCTTCGGTATTTGTTGTGTAGTGAATATAAGAATTACGGTCATTAAAAGAAGTAGTTCAGTCCCCTAATATGATAAATTCTTCAATTTGATCCCTACAGATACACGTTGTTGTAAATCGGATAGATAAGGTGACAGAGTTGATTTAAAGTCGTCATAATAGGCGGTAATAGACACGAGAATAACTCGGAAACGTGAAGTGTTTTAAGTTGCAAGGATTGAGCCAACGAATTGTTCCTTGTTTATTCATCAAATATTTCATACTAAAAGTGGAGCGCCTCTGAAGCGCTGGTGTTTGATGCACTTACTTCTTTTTATAAATATATTCTGAAAAGATACCAACAACTCGGCCTAAATGGTGAACAATTCAGTAGCTCCTAGAAAATCCCCGACGCCACCAGGCGTGAAAGGAACGATCCCTGTGCCTCCAGCGAGGAAGAACCATCCCATGTCGAATTCTGGTTCTAAAAAAGGTCATTCAGCTCCAACTAATAAGAGTCCCGTCCGAAATCCGGGGCAAAGACCTCAAGGAAAAGTTCTCACTAAGGGCCCTGACTCGCCGGCTCCAAAACAGAAGGCTGAAGTTAAGAGCGATACAGCGTCAGGGAGCGGGAAGAAGAGTTCTACAGTTTCAGTGAATGTTGCTCCCACAGCCGATGGAAATTTGCAGGCGACGACTTGTAGGAGGGGAACCCCAGTGCAGCAAAACGCGGGGGCTACTTCTATTGTGTTGGTGAATAGCCAAGTGCCTCTCGTTAATGTGCAACCATTGCATCAATTACAAGCTCCACAGCAACAACAGTCCCCTGCTCAAACTTCGCTTGAACTTCCAAAGCAGGAGCAGACTAATCAAATTCAATTACCGATAAATGCTAAGCAAAATGGATCCGTAAGTGATAATGAATCACGAATTCAAGATGCCATAAATCAATTTCATCAAAATGCATCTGAGTCTCAACATAGTCTAGAAACTCACAGGCAACATAATGAACAACTACCAAATTTAGGCATTATAATTGATCAATCGTTTGATCTGCAGCAACCTGTAAAACAACAATATAGTCAACAAATACAAAAGCTGGAGCTAGGTCCTCAAACACCTCAACAACCACAGAAATTTTCGACTCCAATGTCGCAAGTGATGGATCAGACTTCACCGAAGTTTATACAGACTTCACCGCTTCAGTCCCCTGAAATAAGCCTTCAACAAGCGGATATCCAACAACAAATTCTGATGAAACAGCGTCAACTCAAGCCCGCTCCCATGCCTTGCATAAACGGCGTGGTACTCGACCAGCCTCTAAACGCTAGCCTCGACAGCTCCCCTAATGAACCGAAAAACCCTTTCTTTAAAAGCCAGATGATTAAATCTCCTAAATTAGGTCGTAGAGTTTCATCACCCAACTCGGGAGTTTCACAAGATCAGTTACTGGTCGGAAATGAATCTGTGAGCGAGAAGATTCCCGGCTTCCTGAGAGGTAACGGACTTCGAAAAGGAAATTTCTCAGGATTTCAACCTCGAGTTCAAGCAAAACAGATTCTTGGTCATCACATCAACCGCCGCTTGTCGCAGACGCAAGGTCCTGGATGTGCATCGCAGCCTAATTTCGCGTACAGTCAAGGAGACTTGACAGAGAACACATCAAATCGTGGATCGTCGAACAATTTGATGACAATGGCCGATTTTTCCATCAGTACGCCTGAAAATTTGGCAGACCATAACACGGAAGCCTTTGGAACACTAATGAGTGCGTTACAGAGCACCCAATCAGAAATGTTACCTCAAACATTACCCATGTTCCCTTCACAAACAAATTTCGTTTCCCCGAAGCAACGAACTTCCTCCATATCATCAACTAGATCAATGACCCAAGCCTTACAAGCAACCTTGCTTCCTCAGCAAAGCGTTCCCTTCGAGGCAACCCATGTGCCTACATCGGCCTCGAACGCAATCACCGAGATGACCAACTCTCAGGAAGCTTCAAAAGAAAGTCTTTCTAAAGTTGAACTGCGCAGGACTTCAATTGATGAAGCTAGCCCACCAAGTGAAGGAACTGGAACGTTGCTAAAATGCAATCCAGTTAGGAGCCAAGTCTTCCCAGCCCAATTCAAGAAAAATAAAATAATTGGACATAATCTAGCTGCAATTAACCACACGTTCAAAGCTTCTACAAATAACCAGGTTGAACATCCAATTTCGGAAGCAGAAATCTCTTATGTAGAAGTTAAGCCCGAAGCTGTGGGAGTCGAAACTCTGTCAGGCGATGTTTCCAAAATTCAAAGTGTTGTTTCAGGCAACTCTGCGTCTAATACGAACCTTTCCAATGCGTCGAATATTTTGCTGGCTGCTAGAGTCGACACGACTCCAATGTCACCTACGACGTCCATTACTGAGCCAGCACAGAAGAGTATGTCCACTGTATCACTGATAAATATCAATGATATGAAAACCAAAGAATGTATCGCGCGCGAATTAGTAGGCAGTTCTGATTCCGGAGTTGCCACAGAAGCCCACTGCAATGAAGAGAAAAAAGCTGACGCAATACCAAAGCCAATCATTACGTCATCGGAATCAAGCGCTGCTATGACTCCTCGACAAAAAGTCGACGACATTGCCAAGGAAGGAATGACGGATAAATTACCGGCAGAAGTTCCTCTAGCAAAGCAACATGAGGCAGGAAAGGAAATTCGAGAAAGAGAGGTCACATCCGTAAAGCAGAGAAGGTTTAGCGAACTCAAGAACTACAAGATCGGAGAGAAGAGTAGACTGCAGGCTGAAGCACAAGCAGCAGCGCTGGCGGAGGTAGCTCTGAAGGATCAATCACGGGCCATGAGCGCGGCTGCTGGAGACTCGGCCGCTTCTGCTCCAGCGCCTGATCAATTACGGGCCAAATGCGCGGCTGCTGGAGACTCGGCCGCTCCTGCTCCAGCGCCTGATCAATCGTGGGCCAAATGTGCGGCTGCTGGAGACTCGGCGGCTGCTGCTCCAGCGTCTGATCAATCACGGGCCAAATGCGCGGCTGCCGGAGACTCGGCCGCTGCTGCTCCAGCGCCTGATCAATCGCGGGCCAAATGCGCGGCTGTGGGAGACTCGGCCGCTGCTGCTCCAGCTCCTGATCAATCGCGGGCCAAATGCGCGGCTGCTGGAGACTCGGCCGCTGCTGCTCCAGCTCCTGATCAATCGCGGGCCAAATGCGCGGCTGTGGGAGACTCGGCCGCTGCTGCTCCAGCTCCTGATCAATCACGGGCCAAATGCGCGGCTGTGGGAGACTCGGCCGCTGCTGCTCCAGCGCCTCAGACGAACGCAGTGGACCCGGCGCCGGGATCCGACCGATGTCTCGACCGCAACAACAACAACGACGCCATGGAGGAAATGTTCCGTAAATTGTACGGGTAAGTGAACGTCTGCTATAGATAACCCCATGCATTTTTCTGCAATTGGTGTAAAATTGGTTTAAGTTCATTTACAAATATTCAAATATTTTTCATGTTTCACTCTGGTTGCAAAATTCTTGGATTGATTCCCCGAGTTGACTAAAGAATCTCAATATAATACAAAATATCGGCAGAACAATTCAATAAGTCACTGCCTAAAATTGAAAATGAACTCAATGTTTATCAAAAGTTTCCCATTGCAGGGTAGTTTTCTCTCACATTTTCTTGATAAGGTGAAAACGAGCAGACGTCAGACTGTCTGGTGACGTCAAAGAAGCTCAGGTGTAGGAGGTCATGACGTTCTTTGTTATTCGATGCTAATTATAAACACGGCGACTGGCAACACCGCAGTGCCTTTTTGGCAAGACCTTCTAACGCTCGCTTTAACTTCGACGATGTGCGTTACATCCGCTGCACAGCTCAACCACAGTCGACATTCTGAGTTACATCCGCACAACAATTCAGATTCAGTCGACATTCAATTGAATGAACAAATTATACATTTAATTTAAAATACAGGAAATGCATATTTTAAGTATAATTTTTTATTTTTAGCGCATTTTCTTATTTTTGGAAAAAGGCTCTATTATGCTCGTCATGTCCGTCCGTTCGACCGTGACTTCGCGGACGGACGGACGAGAAATTGCGTTCTCTGTCACTCACTGCAGTGAGTACTGATCTAATTTTTTTCAATCTCGTGCTGATGGTTTGGTACTAGTCTTAGAATCTCGTCTAAGACTAGTACATTACCATACTAAGTAATACAAGAACCATACTAAGAATAATACCTAGTCTCGTCATCTAAGCTCATCTGGACTGAGTACCGCAAATTATTCGCTGTTATTTTTAGCTACAAAACTATTTTGCAGGTAATATTGCCCAATTTACACAGCATAATTTCGTAGTATAGCGCTCGAGTCCGTTTCTAGATCAAGAGATAGAATTATACAAATTTCATCACATCCCTTATAATTTCTTCAAATTGACAAGTTATATATTAAGTACGAGGCGATATTATAAAATTTCACTTGGTACGTTACGACGTGCTATAGAAACATTTCATGTCCCAGACATGAACATAATTAAAAATTTAATATCAAATGTAAAAGACATTATTAGGTTTTAGTGAGTTTCATGTAATTAAATTAACGATCAAAAAATGATATTCATCGAGACTGAGGGAAGCAGAATGATAGCTAAAGAGCTAATATAATATGCTAATTATAGCTATACTGTCCCAAAGAGCCAATATAATGTGCATTAGGACAGTCCATTTCATTCATTATTGTCAGCCTCGTTAAATTATTAAATTAAAAATTAAAAGTGCTATTAATTGATCAATTACAGAAAGTCTAGTGACCCTTGTCATGAGCCCTGCCATGACGCCGCATGACGCATTTGGCACAAGAGTGTCGCATGACGCATCAATGCATTAGTGAGCGAGCTCGTGCGGTTGCCTCTTGTATCGTCATGTCTATTTATTTATTATGAGTAGTTTCCTGATTATAGATTACTGAATATAAGATTATAGATCTTATATTCTTATATTCAGATTCAGATCTTATAAGATTATAGATCTTATATATATATATATATAAGATTATACACATACAGATTACCGAATCGTAAAATTTTATAATAGTCCTTCCGTAGTTCAGAATAAAGTATAAAATGCCATTAAAGTGAGCAAGTGAATATTTTTCGCCTTCTACAGACTGTTATATCTGCGCCTGGGTCAAAAAATTGAGTGTTAGTCTTACTGTATACAGTAATAATGATGCAGTACACTGTTGAATAAGTGCACCCAACTGCTAACTTAATTGACCAACACCCATATCCACTCAACTCGTCAACTCGTTGCTGTTTTGGAAATTCAAACGAACTGAAATTGATGTGACAATTGACTGATAAAATTCAATATTCCTTTTTAAATTAAATTAGCTTATGGTTTAAATTTGTTGGTTGTGTTATAGAGCATAAGAGGAGATAAATATCCCCTATTCTCTGCAGCTGGCGCACGTTTCAAACGAATTCAACAAGTTCACAACTGGAAATACGGTTGAAACGGGGAATTTTTTTGATGCAAAAATAGATACAAAAAATAAATTGGAAGGAATACAGAGGAAAATTCAGAGCATTTCAATTAAAAAAATAAATTAGTGAATGGATCAATAACGCCGTAACATTAGTTATTTTTCATGTATGTTCTAAATAAAATTACCGTATAGGATGCTGAAGTCACTTCAATATCTATCTGCCTGACATGAATAAGTCAATCTTTAATTAAACTGCTTGTAATTTCTACTCGTGCATTAACGGCAAATATTGCAATGTTGTTGCACAACCTGCATGCAATCAAGCAATAAGATTACAGCATCCTTATAGGATTACAGCTCTGAGATTCCTAACACCACACAGACCGCTGTAAATAGCGCTCCTATGCACTATGCGCGGGGTCAATAGTGCTGGCTAATCCCTAGCAAAACTATTGTAGTATGCAAAAGCAATAAATAATTATACGGTCTTCTTTGCTAACTGATCATTATTCAACAGTTCTTCAGAATATCCTTCATCTAGCGTAGAGTAAGTAGCAAATAAAATATTAAAGAATCGTGTCTATTCGAAAAGAGGTAAAAGTAAGAAAAATGTTAGGGTAAAAATTATTTTTACACGCACTTGTGAATTTTCCATTACGGGAATTTCTATATTGAATATTTTGTTGGAATTGTTGACTTCCCTTTCGCCATTTATTTTACATTTTATACAAATTTTCATTGTGTCACTGCTGCTCCTACAACGCATCTCTTCAACACTCTTGAATCCTTGCCTAAAATTTACGAATTAATTGATAAATTAATCAATGCGGAATAATTCATTCCCTGTGCCGCGGAAATATCAATTTACTATAAAACAAAATTAGAATTAGTCATTAGAAAATAAAATTAGTGGAAATTTCTGATTATCAGTTTGCGGTCTCATTGACATATTTTACGTCGAAATGAATAGTTATCGTAAACCTATATGTAAAAGTTTTATTAATCGTAAAAAGTTAACGTTGAGGGTCATCAAGGACAAAAAATGGGCTCTTTAAGTTAAAATTATGAAGAACCTCTTTTCAACATTTGTAAATTTGTGAGAAAGCTTGCCATCAATAAATGCATATGCACGCCATTATTTACATTTACACATTTCACTTCCTAACCCTCTACCGCCGTATGTAACTCTCGTGAACATAACTTTCAACTTAAATTATACGTAAACTATTGAGTGTAGCAACCTGAGGACGTTTGTACGCAACAGAGAACATTTTAAAGTTGTCGTACGTGGCGGCAACCATCAGTGCAAGTTGCTTTGCGCTCACTAGAACGTATCCTTTTTGGGAAGTAGGCTTGTGACAATATTGCTCCTGTTACTCGTGTCACGCGGTAGAGGGTTAAAATTGGTAAAATGTGGCGTTTCCAACTCGCTAAAAAGGGGCATCGAATTCTCATGCAATTTAAGACCTGCGTCTCTGATTGGCTGGCTGACATTAAAATTATAACATTGAACACGGAAGTAGACAGATAATAATGAATCGGAAATAAGTTGACTAGCTATGCAAGCTTCGGGCAGGCTGTAGCTCGATCTGTACGCGCCAGAAAGGATCCATATAATCCACATTGAAAATAGAGTGGGGAACCACCCTACTGCCTTTGTATCTTTTCCTGACACTCAGCTAGTATTCTTTTCTCTTAATTACCGCCTGACATGAGTAACCGAAGCAATATTGTCACACGCCTACTTCCCAAAAAGGATACGTTCTAGTGAGCGCAAAATAACTTGCACTGATGGTTGCCGCCACGTACGACAACTTTAAAATGTTCTCTGTTGCGTACAAACGTCCTCAGGTTGCTACACTCAATAGTTTGAGATGGATAAGTGAATAATTTTGCAAAATCCGCTATATTCTTAGGCTGGGATGAACGCAGCGTATAAGTAGCGAGTGGTTGATCAGTTTTTCGTGACAGGAATGGCGCGGTTAAGGTCTAAGATTTATGTTCTGTAGAATATTTGATAATTTCTCATATTATATTAAGATAAATTAAAACTTTCCCCCTAAGAATAAAACAGATCGAAAAAATCATAACAGCTCAAATCGACTGAGACTGGTCTCGTTGAAATACGAAGACGGTATAGACTGCGCTGTCATTTCGCGTTATCGGCGCTAGCACGCCTGCCGTCTGTAGGATTGAGTCGCCATCAAGAGGGTTTTGAGCTGCCAACAACAGGGTTGAAAAGACAACAAGAGGGTTGAGAAGACAACAAGAGGGTTGAGAAGACAACAAGAGGGTTGAGAAGATAACAAGTGGGTTGAGCCGCCAGGAAGACGGTTGAGTCACCATCTGTAGGATTGAGCCGCCATCAAGAGGGTTTTGAGCTGCCAACAAGAGGGTTGAAACGGCAACAAGAGGGTCGATACGACAACCATAGGGTTGAGACGACAACAAGAAGGTTTAGACGACAGCAAGAGGCTTGAGACGACGAGAAAAGGGTTGAGACGACAACAAGAGACTTGAGACGACGAGAAAAGGGTTTAAACGACAATAAAAGGGTTGAGAAGACAACAAGAGGGTTGAGACGACAACAAGAGGCTTCGGACGACGAGAAAAGGGTTGAGACGATAAGAGATTTGAGCCGCGAGCAAAAGGGTTGAGACGACATCAAGAGGGTTGAAAAGTGAGATAGAGGGTTTACCGCTAGCATGAGGGTTGAGACGACAACAGAGGGTTGAGCTGCCAACAAGAGGGTTGAGACGACAACAAGAGGGTTGAGCTGCCAACAAGAGGGTTGAGACGACAGCAAGAGAGTTGAGAACAAGAGGGTTGCACCGCGAGCACGAGTGTCGGGAATTGAAGACGAGGGTTCAATCGTGGTGGTTGCCTTCAACGTGTGCCAAACGTCGCCTCCCGCAGTTGTCT